AGAGAGAAAAAGAGAATGAAAAAGATATGATAGGGTGTAGCTAAGAGGAGAGAGCAAGAATAAACACTGATCCAACACGAGAATCAACAGAGTCAATCTGATTTATTATGTGATTGAAGAACAATAGTGAAAACAGCACGGATAGATGAAAATGCTAATTCAAAAAGACACACACACCCTAATGTTCATAGCATCACTATTACAATAGCCGAGATATGGAAGCAACCCAAGTGCCCAGAAACAGACAAATGGATAAAGAAGATATGATATATATATGTGTATACACACACACACACAAACACACACAATGGAATACTACTCAGCCGTAAAATGAATGAAACTCTGACATTTGTAGCAATGTGAATGGACCTAGAGAATATTATGCTTAGTGAGTATATCAGATAGAGAAAGACAAATACTGTATACTACTTATATACTACTTATATGTGGAATCTAAAAAATGATATTTGGGTTGGCCAAAAAAGTTCATTTGGGGTTTTCCTTAAGATGTTATGGAAAACCCGAATGAACTTTTTTGGCCAACCCAATACAAACAAATGTATACAGCAAAATGAGAAACAGGCTCACAGATATAGAAAACAAGTTAGTGGTTACCAGAGGGGAGAGGAAAGGGAGGAGGGGCAAATCAGGGATAAGGGATTAAGAGATACAAACCTCTACGTACAAAATACATAAGCAACAAGGATATATTGTATAGTACAGGGAATTATAGCCATCGTTTTGTAACAACTTTTAATGGAGTATAATCTGTAAAAATGATGAGTCACTATGCTGTGCACCTGAAACTAATATAATACTGTTAATCAACTATAAGTCAATTTTAAAAAAAGGCTATTTAAAAACCCAGCATGGATAGACCTCATGGTTTACTTACTGTGAGGCTCAGGCATAAAAACTTTATTAGAGAAGCCATGAATACACGTGTATAGATGTGTGTAATTTTGATCTGATAATCAAATGCTTGTTTTCTCTTTTAGTTGCTAAGTCAATTATTCATTTAATGAATAACTGAATTGAACTGTAGTCTAAATGCAGACTCTGGTTAACAACTTTTTTTAAAAAGATTGAGATAGAATGACATAAATATTGTAACAGTTTTAGGTGTACAACATAATGATTTGATATATGCATATACTGCAAAATGACTGCCACAATAAGTCTGGTTAACATCCATCATCACATAGTAACAATTATTTTCTTGTGATGAAAACTTAAAATAAAAATTAATTAATTAATTATTTTTTGGCTGTGCTGGGTTTTCGCTGCTGCGTGTGGGCTTTCTCTAGCTGCGGCGAGCAGGGGGCTACTCTTCCTTGCAGTGTGCGGGCTTCTCATTGCGGTGGCTTCTCTTGTTGTGAAGCAAGAGGTCTAGGCACGTGGGCTCAGTAGTTGTCGCTCACGGGCTCTAGACTGCAGGCTCAGCAGTTGTGGTGCACAGGCTTATTTGCTCTGCGACATGTGGAATCTTCCCAGACCAGGGCTTGAACTGTGTCCCCTGTATTGGCAGGCGGATTCTTAACCACTGCGCCACCAGGGAAGCCCGATGAGAACTTTTAAGATCTATTCTCTTAACAACTTTCAAGATCTATTCTCTTAACAACTTTCAAATATACAATACAGTATTGTTAATTACAGTCACCATTCCCAGGATTTAAGTGGAAGTTTATACATTTTGAATGCCTTCACTCCTTTTGCCCACCCTCTGCCCTCTGCCTCTGGCACCACCAATCTGTTCTCTGTATCTGAGTATCATTAACAATTCTAACCAAATTTTAAACTATGCTATTTCACATATTAACAGATTAAAAAATTATTATTTCCCACTTTGAGTAGTGTTTAAAACTGCTCATGTGTCCTACATTAAGGTCTGAAGCTGGCCACCACACACTTCAAAATCAGTGGTTCAATGAAAAAAGAGAAATAGAAGTCTACTTCTTTCACATAACAATGAGGATTTACTCAAATCCAAGAGCTAATGACAGACTTAATGGAAAAGTGCTAAAGCCATTCTTTTAAAATTAAAATGAAACAAGAAAATCTTCTGCAATTAATATATTAATAAGCCATAACATAAGCCATGAAAATGAAATATTGATCCAAGATACAAGAAATAATATTGGAAAGGAAAATTTGCAGATAACATTACTGTAATACTAGGAAAGCCAAAACAATTTGTCAAACAAAAGTTTTAAATAATTTTGAATATTAAGATAATTAAATAATTCTTATTAAAATAATGAAAAAGCAGTTGGACACAAAATATGACCTGCATCCCACAATAACTGAACAGAATATATAATATTATAGATATTATTTATAATCATTTATATATATATTTCCTACATAATGAAAAGGACATCCATTAAGAATAACAACAAATGTTAAAAATGCTTATGAAGTAGCTTAATTTAGTGACCTCTGACTTAGAGTTTTACTGAGAAATTTAAAAAAGCAACCACAAATAAATGAAACTACCATATTCCTGAATGAGACTAAATATGATAAAGATGTCAGCTTCTCTCAAATTTATTAACAGAGTTTTCATAATCCCATTGAAAAAACCCAAATAGTATTTTTTTTTTTTTATAAACTGAAAGAAGGACTATAAAATTCAGTTGGAAAATTACCAGGCAAAGTCATCAAAGAATTTCATGAAAAATGAAGTGTACTGAAACGGTTAGCCCTAATGGCCAAATATCAAAACATATTAAAAGCAACAATGATTAAAATAATATGGGGGGACTTCCCTGGTGTTGAGAGTCCACCTTCCAATGCGGGGGATGTGGGTTCAATCTTGGTCGGGGAACTGGGATCCCACATGCTGTGGGGCAACTGAGCCCGTGAGCTGCAGCTACTGAGCCCATGCCACAACTAGAGAGCCCGTGTGCTGCAACTACAGAGCCCACATGCTCTGGAGTCTGTGCACCACAACTAGAGAGCAGCCTGCTCACCACAACTAGAGAGAAGCCCACACCCCTCAATGAAAGATCCCATGTGCTATATCTAAGACCTGACCCAGCCAAAAATATAAATAAATAAATATTAAAAAAAAAAAAAACCATGGTTCTGGCCCCAAACTAGACACCTATTTTAATTGAAGAGAACAGAGTCTAGAAATATTCTATTTCTTATAAGAATTTAATACAAGAGATATCATGAGTCAATAAGAAAGGTAAGCATTATGTAGAAAATTATACTGGATAATTAAATACCAATTTTGATAAAAGTACTGGTAGATCATTATAGCAATGGCTCCCACAGAATCATGTCTCCCTGTTTCTACATCTTTGTGCCTCTGGGTGTGGACACACGACAAAGTTTTGGGTGGTTTGTTATGCAGCAGTACTCAACATATTAAAACATCTGATAGAATATACCAAAATATATTCCAGATAGTTGAAGAGTTAAATATAAAATTAAAAGAAAATAAAATTTTGGTCTGAGACCTAAATGAACTTGAGGCATTCAGGTACAAGACATGGTGGGAGTGTGCTAACTTTCCTATCTTCACAAGGGAAAGCCTGAAATTTGACTACCTAACATTAAGATATCACAAAGTGCAAAAGCAAGAGAAACAAAATGGAAAGAGAGACAAGAGACTGGGAAAGCAATAGCATAAAATATGGCTAGGGTCAATGTCACTTCTTTATAAAGATATCGTTCAAACTCATATGTAAAACAAAGCTATGAACATATAATTTACATCAGAGGATGTACAGATATTTTATAAAACAAGACATCAAATCTTGATAGTAATTAAAGAATTAGAAGTATAACAACCTTGAGGTAACATTTTATCCCAAGGAATTTAGAAAAAAATGGTATAATTTGGTCTTAGGTTGTGTATTTTGATGGCACTGTAGATTTGTACACTTTGGAGAGAAACATCATTCATAGCCACTAAAACTTCTGTATCCTTTGACTCAACATTCCTACTCCAGGAAAATTATCCAAAGAAAGTAATTCGCAAGTGTAAAAAGCCAATATCCAAAGATACTCTTTACAATATTATTTTAATAGTAAACCGTTGAGCCTTTGTATTGCCCCAAAAAAGGGCAATTACTTTGGCTGAGGCATAAGAATTCCACGTTACCATTAAATGTTAAATTTATGAAGATTAGGAAGCAGCATAAACACGTTAATGTCATGCTAGATGCAAAGCAGAATTTAAATGCATATAACGAACATAATGGAATGAATACACATGATCTTATTAAATCCTCAGACTCTGAGATGTCTTAGCTCTATAATTACAGAAGAAACAAAAATTTCACTAATTTCTCCAGGTTCACACTTTTAATAGGTAATAGACCCCAAGCCTGTTAGCTGAAGCACTCACCCATCTTTTCATTTGTAATTGATCCAATTACTCATCTTTTTGTGCCCCAAAGCTTACTCTTCCCACCACATCATGCTTCATATAGTCAAAGTACTGGCAGCCCTACGCGAAAAAGGAAATAATTTCTTAAAGTTTATGGGTTCACACGTTTTTCTCTCTCACCTTTCAAAAAAGTTTTAAAATGTTACATCCATTTTACGATATAAAAATAAAAAATGTAGGGCTTCCCTGGTGGCGAAGTGGTTGAGAGTCTGCCTGCCGATGTAGGGGACACGGGTTCGTGCCCGTCCGGGAAGATCCCACATGCCGCGGAGAGGCTAGGCCCGTGAGGCATGGCCGCTGAGCCTGCGCGTCCGGAGCCTGTGCTCCGCAACGGGAGAGGCCACAACTTCTAGGAAGAAAAAAAAAAAAAAAAAAAAAAAAAATCAAAAATGTAGTCAAAGATAAAGTACTCAAGTCCTTCATCTACTGTGCCCCAGTTACCCGGGAAACTCAAGGTCTACGGAAGCGCGGGCTTCTAAAGGCGGGCGAGGGGCCAGGAGGCGGGGCAGGCGTCGCAAAGAAAAAAGAAACCCAAACAAAAGTACGCAAAACCCTGCCCCGCGCTGCTTTACGGCACTCGCTCCGCCCCTCCAGGTGCGCGAGGCTGAAGCCGGCAAACATGGCCGACACTTGTTTTCTCGGCCAGGGTTGCACTACCCTGGTAGGGTTATTGCTCTTGCCCTTCGGCAGCTTGGCCGCTAGTCAGATCGAGGTAGGAGTCAGGCCCTCTGAGCGACAGGGCCCTGGGGGGACAGCTGTGGCCTGGCTGTCAGCGCCCAGCAGATGTCCGATACACAGCCGCCGAGGGAAGCCTTCTGGAGTCACCCAGCAGCCTCTTCCTAGGCTGACTGGGCTGTGGGGAGGGTGTCGCAGGGGACGGGATAGGACAGTGTCCGTCTGTTTCAGCCTTTTAAAACGGTGAATGAAAAGAATCAAGTCCTGGGCGGCGGGGGAGGGCCTGATCCTTTGCTCCGACGAGCGTGCAGTCCCTAGCAGGTGAAAGGTCACCGCATGAGTGCCGCACCTACTTTTCCCTGCTACCAAACTATAACGCTCTCCTTTAATAGGAGTCAGATGGATACGGTGTTTTATTTTTGGCTCACACTACGTTCTGGCGCGTTACAAAGCTTTTACTATCCCCTGTACTCTGATAATATCTTCGTCCAGTTCTGCAGCCTGCATCTCTAGCATCATTTTTCAGAATATCCAGCTGGCTTAGGGGCCCAGATAATCAGCAGACAGTTGAAAATTTGTGTCCAAAGTTTTATATTCTGCCTACCCCAACTCCTGTGGGGTTGCTCCTAAGCTAGAAACCTAGGGTTTTAAAAAATTAACTCCTCTCTTTATTTCACATTTTAATCATCACTAAATTCTACGTTCTGAACTTTTAAAATTGCTTTCACCTGTCCAGTTCGACTGGCTTAATGCAGGCCCTGGTCATTTCTTGCTTAGATTATTGCAATAACTTTATCTTTTTTCCTCCAGGCTTCCAAACTCCCTTACTTTAGTCTTCATCAAATGTAAACCTGATCAGGTTATTCTTCTGATTGAATCTTTTCAGTATTTTTTTCATTGCATACAGAATAAAGTCTAAACATCATGATCTGGTCTCTAAGCAGAGACTTTTCCAGTCTTCATATAGGACCCCATTCTCCCCACCATCTCAGACCTTGAGCTTAGACCAGCGGCTCAAAACTTTTTGAATACACATCCCTACCAGTTAAAAAGAGAGCATGCACTCCCTCTTTCTATTCATGAATTATTGCTAATTTATATATTCAGTATTTATAAAGCATATTGTTTAGATACTGTAAACTTAAATAGAAGTTCTATTTTCCTTATTTAGTAGGTTATTTTGTATACTTCATTTTGGATACCATTACTCTTTTTTTGTAGTTACACAGTTGTGCTTTTTTACATTACCATATTTCATTCCTCCAGTTTCTTCTGTTTGCTTATTTACTAAATGCAGTAAAAGCTAACCTCTGTAGAATCTTTCCCTATCCTTTACTTTTGCCTTTACTATTGTAATTTGTGCACTTAGCTAGTGTAGCACTCGTCTCTTATAACACATGTATGCTTTGTACTCTATTATTACATCATCTTTCACTTAGAGGACAACAGCTGCCTAATTGGTCTGGCTCAAGTCATTCTTTTTTCTTTCCAGTCTGTTCTCCAAGCTGCAGCCTGAGTAACTTTTAAATATGCAAATCCGATCATGTCACCCGTATATACCTTAATGCTGCTTTAAGGATAAAGAACTAAATCTTGATTATGACCCATAAACAAGGCCTTGCATTCTTTGGCTTCTGCCTACACCTCCAGTTCTCTCTCCCTCTCTCTCTTTTTCAAACTTCTAGTTATGCTAATCTTTCAGTTTCTAGAAATTTTTAAGCTTCCTTCTGCCATTTGGGCTCATGTTCCCTCTGTCTGGAATTATCTTCCCTCTTCTCATTATCTTTTGGGTCCTAACCAAATGTCACTTCTCTAGAGAAACCTTCCCTGACATCCCTGCCTGCCCTTCCCCCTCCCATTCCCTGATCAGGTTAGGTCCCCCTATTATACTCTTTTATGATACTGTATATCTTACCTTTATAGAATTTGTAGTTTGTCCTTATCTGCTTAATGTATGTCTATCAAATTGGATAGTAACCTCTTTGGAGGCAAGTATTTTGCCCATCATTGTATTCTGAGCACTGAACAGGGACTGGCACATGGTACACAATGAATGTGATGAATGAATGAACGTTACATAGTAGTGTAATGTGTTTGCATGCTTGTCTTCTTTATTGAACTCTGGGATTCTTCAGAGAAAGCAGCATGCTTTTTAGTGACTTTTTTGCATCACTGTACATTACATGGTACCTGGCACATAATAGGTGCTCCACTAACTGTGTAGAATGAATGAATAACTTTGCAGTGTCTATATTGTCTAAACAATCCCAAAAGAGTTTTGCCATCTCAGTTTTTTCACTGAGTCTTAATGATGTGAGGATTTTGGAGCCGGAAGGGACATTAGAGGTTATCGGGTCAACTCCCATTTCTACATGAGGAAAATCAAGTCTACAGAGCTAAATGACTTAACCCCATTCTCACAGCCAGATCTTCAAATTCCTAAACCACTATAGCACATTGCTTTCTTTAGCATCTATGCAGCTGTTGAGAAAGTTTAAAAAGAAATATATATATATATATACACACACACATATATATATATGGCACACACACACACGTATATGACGCACACACACATATATGACACACACACCCAGTGAATTTTTTATTTCATTCTTTCTGAAATTTTCTTGCCAGCTGAAAATTAAAACAGCTAATATTTGTTATACAATTACTATGTTCTAGTCACCATTCCTACATTCTGTGAGTCACGTAATGTTATCATTTTATAGGTGGGGAAATGGGAAGTACAAAGAAATTAAGCAGCTTTCCTAAGTTTATACAGCTAGTAAGTAGTAGGGTCCAGATTTGAATCCAGGCAGTCTGACTGTTCTAGTAATTAATACTGTTTAGGGGCAGATCTGAAATCATTATGGTTTATATTCACTATTATTTTAATATATAATAAAAGTCATATTCATTAGGTGTCTGGATGGTATTGGATGCTGAGGTTTTTAATGTTCCATGATGGTAAATATAATTCAGACTTTAACAGATTAGCAAAATGGTACATGGAAGTATGCTAGAGAATGTGTTTAATCACATATATTGGTGAGTTAAAATAATAGGAAGCACTCAGCACAGAGTAGGAGCAAATATTGAATGAAATTTCGGCAGGAAGGGTATTAATATGTGAATCGAGAAATGAAATGTCTTTCACAATTTGAAGATTGAATAGAAAATGAGAAGCATGAGGAAGAGCTGACTGCATTTGAGATAAAATGTTTAAAAACAAAAATCTCCTCTTGCAGTAGCCTCCTGCTCCCCCCAAATAAAACTGTTTTGTCTTTCATAAGGTCAGATACTAGAATATTTATAAACTTGCACAATGATGGCTTACTGTTATTACAACTGTAAAAACTCCGTGAATCTTAACTGTCCTTTATCAGCCTTTATTCTGGGAAATGTGACTTTCTTTTAAGCTTTTTGCTATTATTTGACTAATAGGATCAAGCGGAACAGTTGTTTAGAAGTGGCCATACGAACAACTGGGCGGTTTTGGTAAGTGTATTCTATAAAGGTATACCTCGTTGTTTACATTAGATGTGTATCTGAGAAATTTTGTGTGAATCAAATTCTTGAAAATAATTTATATCTTATAAAAGAAATTATTTTCATTTTGCTATATTTTAAATTGATCACATCAACTAATAATATCCTTTGTCTTCAGTGTGTCTGTCAAGTGGTGATGTGTAAATACATGGAAAAATAAATTAAGGATCCTATTGTGAAAGGGAGCATTTTATAAAGTGTAGAGTTATTTTAATGATGGAAACTAGTGATTGTATTTCTTATCTGTAATATTTGTTTATAGATACTCTCTACTTTGGCTATTTTGTTTTTATTTGTTTTTTTCTCTTTACAAAAATAAATGATCATTGTAGAAAATTCAAATTATACAGAAAAGTTTAGAAGACAAATTAATTTTATGTTACTGTGATTAAATAGAATAGCAATATGGGTTCATGATTCATTTTCTTGTTCTTCAGGAACAAAAACCTTTTATATGCTACTGCCTCATAAGAGATTTTATGAAGGAATTGAACAAAAGCTGCTCATGATAAGGAGATAGGTTTTCAGTGACCACTTAAATTGGGGAAAACTATGAGGAGGCAGGCCATGATCCACCAATTTGAGAGGATAACTTGCTCTATAGGAAACTAAGGGCACTTCCAATTAGTCTGTCTATAGGAATTCTTAAAAGAGGGAATAACTGCCTATGTGCAGACAGCTAATTGCCAAAGGGCTCATCTTTTAGAATAGGAGCCTATTAGCTTATACTACACACACATTGAAGTCTTCCTTGTTCTGGGAAACCTTTAACTGAGCCCCTCTCTAATCTCAGCAACCTAGGTCTCAGATGAGAAATAGAGGGTGAAAAAGAATTACTTCTGAGTATTTGACAACTGCAGTTTTCATGTTTTGTGCAATATTTTACACATTAACTCAGACTTAGTAGAGTGAGACTTCAATAAATTGTACTTTCTTAAGTGGAAAATTATGAAATTTGACCAGGGCCAAGTTGAAAGTATAAAACATACATTTCTTTAAATGTTACGTAGTTCAAATTAAAGAAAAAAAAAAAGTTTTTCCTCCCAGTTTGAATTAATTTTAATCTTGACTAGATGATCAGAGGTAAATGAAATGCCCCTTCTCTCTTGTAATATGATTGAGAAAACTTGCCACCAGAGGGAGATAGAAGGAAAATAGGATTCTATTTTGGTTTCAGGATCTGCTTTGAATAAAACATTTTTGTCTCTGTTTAATAAAAAATGTTACAAAGATAATCCATACTCATGGTTAAAAAAAATAATACTGATGGGTAATGATTTTGTTTCTAGCTTTTTGGTTTTGATTTTTGCTAATGTCGGCAATATTATAGTGAAAGTCCTTGAACACATATTTTTACGTGCTTATATGAGCTAAATAAAAAAATAAGTACATTTTCAAACTTGATATATGTTGCAAATTACCCTCTTAGAAGGTTTTTATTAGTTCACATTCCCATAAATAGGATATGAGTGTTTTGTCCTCATATCTGTAGTATTTGCCCTCATACTATTGGCAAGGGTATTGCCATACCAATAGTACGAATTGTCAGACTTGTGGATACTTATCAATTTATGTTTTTTTTTAATTGTTGTATAACTACTTTACAATGTTGTGTTAGTTTCTGCTGTACAACGATGTGAATCAGCTATATGTATACACATATGCCCTCCCTCTTGGACCTCCCTCCCCCCAACACCCATCCGACCCATCTAGGTCATCACAGAGCACCAAGCTAAGCTCCCTGTGCTATACAGCAGGTTCCCACTAGCTAGCTATTTTACACATGATAGTGTATATATGTCAATCCTAATCTCCCAATTCATCCCACCCACCCTTTCCCCCCGTGTCCACACATCCATTCTCTACGTCTGCATCTCTATTCCTGCCCTGCAAATAGGTTCATCTGTACCATTTTTCTAGATTCCACATATATGCGTTATTATATGATATTTGTTTTTCTCTTTCCGACTTACTTCACTCTGTGTGAGAGACTCTAGGTCCATCCACCTCACTACAGATGACTCAATTTCATTTCTTTTTATGGCTAAGATTCCATTGTATATATGTGCCACATCTTCTTTTTCCATTCATCTGTCTATGGACACTTAGGTTTCTTCCATGTCCTGGCTATTGTAAATAGTGCTGCAGTGAACATTGTGGTACATGACTCTTTTTGAATTATGGTTTTCTCAGGGTATATGCCCAGTAGTGGGATTGCTGGGTCATAAGGTAGTTCTATTTTTAGTTTTTTAAGGAACCACCATACTGTTCTCCATAGTGGCTGTATCAATTTACATTCCCACCAACAGTGCAAGAGGGTTCCCTTTTCTCCACACCCTCTCCAGCATTTATTGTTTCTAGATTTTTTGATGATGGCCATTCTGACCAGTGTGAGGTGATACCTCATTGTAGTTTTGATTTGCATTTCTCTAATAATTAGTGATGTTGAGCATCTTTTCATGTGCTTCTTGGCCACCTGTATGTCTTCTTTGGAGAAATGTCTATTTAGGTCTTCTGCCCATTTTTAGATTGGGTTGTTTGTTTTTTTGATATTGAGCTGCATGAGTTGTTTGTGAATTTTGGAGATTAATCCTTTGTCGGTTGCTTTGATTGCAAGTATTTTTTCCCATTCTGAGGGTTGTCTTTTTGTCTTGTTTGTGGTTTCCTTTGCTGTGCAAAAACTTTTAAGTTTCATTAGGTCCCATTTGTTTATTTTTGTTTTTATTTCCATTTCTCTAGGAGATGGGTCAAAAAGGATCTTGCTGTGATTTATGTCATAGAGTGTTTTTCCTATGTTTTCCTCTAAGAGTTTTATAGTGTCAAGTCTTACATTTAGGTCTTTAATCCATTTTGTGTTTATTTTTGTGTATGGTATTAGGTAGTGTTCTAATTTCATTCTTTTACATGTACCTGTCCAGTTTTCTCAGCACCACTTATGAAGAGACTGTCTTTTCTCCATTGTATATCCTTGCCTCCTTTGTCATAGATTAGGTGACCATAGGTGTATGAGTTTATCTCTGGGTTTTCTATCCTGTACCATTGATCTATATTTCTGTTTTTGTGCCAGTACCATAGTATCTTGTTTACTGTAGATTTGTAGTATAGTCTGAAGTCAGGGAGCTTGATTCCTCCAGCTCCATTTTTCTTTCTCAAGATTGCTTTGGCTATTTGGGGTCTTTTGTGTTTCCATACAAATTGTAAAATTTTTTGTTCTAATTCTGTGAAAAATGCCATTGGTAATTTGATAGGGATTGCATTGAATCTGTAGATTGCTTTGGGTAGTATAGTCATTTTCACAATATTGATTCTTCTAATCCAAGAACATGGTATATCTCTTTATCTGTTTTTGTCATCTTTGGTTTCTTTCATGAGTGTTTTATGTTTTTCTGAGTACAGGGCTTTTGCCTCCTTAGGTAGGTTTATGCTTAGGTATTTTATTCTTTTTGTTGTGATGGTAGATGGGATAGTTTCCATAATTTCTCTTTCTGATCTTTTATTTTTAGTGTATAGGAATGCAAGAGATTTCTGTGCATTAATTTTGTATCCTGCAACTTTACCAAACTCACTGATGAGCTCTAGTGGTTTTCTGGTGGCATCTTTGTGATTTTCTATGTATAGTATCATGTCATCTGCAAACAGTGACAGTTTTACTTCTTCTTTTCCAATTTATATTCCTTTTATTTCTTTTTCTTCTCTGACTGCCATGGCTAGGACTTCCAAAACTATGTTGAATAATAGTGGTGAGAGTAGACATCCTTGTCTTTTTCCTGATCTTAGAGCAGATGCTTTCAGTTTTTCACCATTGAAAATGATCTTTGCTGTGGGTTTGTCATATATGGCCTTTATTATGTTGAGGTAGGTTCCCTCTGTGCCCACTTTGTGGAAAGTTTTTATCATAAATGGGTGTTGAATTTTGTCAAAAGATTTTTTGGCATCTATTGAGATGATCATTTGGTTTTATTCTTTAATTTGTTAATATGGTGTATCACATTGGTTGATTTACCTATATTGAAGAATCCTTGCATCCCTGGGATAAATCCCAGTTGATCATGGTGTATGATCCTTTTAATATGTTTTTGGATTCTGTCTGCTAGTATCTTTTTCTTCCTGACTGCCATGGCTAGGACTTCCAAAACTATGTTGAATAATAGTGGTGAGAGTAGACATCCTTGTCTTTTTCCTGATCTTAGAGCAGATGCTTTCAGTTTTTCACCATTGAAAATGATCTTTGCTGTGGGTTTGTCATATATGGCCTTTATTATGTTGAGGTAGGTTCCCTCTGTGCCCACTTTGTGGAAAGTTTTTATCATAAATGGGTGTTGAATTTTGTCAAAAGATTTTTTGGCATCTATTGAGATGATCATTTGGTTTTATTCTTTAATTTGTTAATATGGTGTATCACATTGGTTGATTTACCTATATTGAAGAATCCTTGCATCCCTGGGATAAATCCCAGTTGATCATGGTGTATGATCCTTTTAATATGTTTTTGGATTCTGTCTGCTAGTATTTTGTTGAGGTTTTTGCATCTGTGTTCATCAGTGATATTGGTGTGTAATTTTCTTTCTTTGTGATATCTTTGGTTTGGTATCAGGGTGATGGTGGCCTCATAGAACTTGTTTGGGAGTGTTCCTCCCTCTGCAATTTTTTGGAAGAGTTTGAGAATGATAGGTGTCAGCTCTTCTCTACATGTTTGATAGAATTCACCTGTGAAGTCATCTGGTCCTGGACTTTTGTTTGTTGGAAGATTTTTAATTACATTTTCAATTCCATTACTTGTGATTGGTCTATTTATATTTTCTATTTCTTTCTGGTTCAGTCTCTGGAGATTGTGCTTTTCTAAGAATTTGTCCATTTCTTCCAGGTTGTCCATTTTATTGGCATATAGTTGCTTGTAGTAATCTCTCATGATCCTTTGTATTTCTGCAGTGTCAGTTGTAATTTCTTCTTTTCCATTTCCAATTTTATTGATTTGAATCCTCTCCCTTTTTTTCTTGATGAGTCTAGCTAAAGGTTTATCAATTTTGTTTATCTTGTCAAAGAACCAACTTTTAGTTTTATTTATCTTTGCTATTTTCTTCACTTCTATTTTATTTATTTCTTGTCTGATCTCTATGATTTCTTTCCTTCTACTACCTTTGGGATTTTTTTTGTTCTTCTTTCCCAAGTTGCTTTAGATATAAGGTTAGATTGTTTATTTGAGATTTTTCTTGTTTCTTGTAGTGAGATTGAATTGCTATAAATTTCCCTCTTAGAACTGCTTTTGCTGCATCCTATAGGTTTTGGGTCCTCGTGTTTTCACAGTTATTTGTTTCTATGTATTTTCTGATTTCCTCTTTGATTCCTCAGTGATCTCTTAGTTATTTAGTAGCGTATTGTTTAGCCTCCATGTGTTTGTGTTTTTAACAGTTTTTTTCCTGCAATTAATTTCTAATCTCATAGCGTTGTGGTCAGAAAAGATGCTTGATACAATTTCAGTTTTCTTAAATATACTGAGGCTTCATTTTTTACCCAAGATGCAGTCTATCCTGGAGAATGTTCTGTGTGCACTTGAGAAGAAATTGTATTCTGCTGCTTTTGGGTGGAATGTCCTATAAACATCAATTAAGTCTGTCTGGTCTGTTGTGTCATTTAAAGCTTCTGTTTCCTTATTTATTTTCTGTCTGGATGATCTGTCCATTGGTGTAAGTGGGGTGTTAAAGTCCCCCACTATTATTGTGTTAGTATTGATTTCCCCTTTTATGGCTGTTAGTATCTGCCTTATGTATTGAGTTGCTCCTATGTTGGGTGCATAAATATTTATAATTATATCTTCTTGGATTGATCCCTTGATCATTATGTAGTGTCCTTCCTTATCTCTTGTAACAGTCTTTATTTTAAAGTCTGTTTTATCTGATATGAGTATTGCTACTCCAGCTTTCTTTTGATTTCCATTTGCCTGGAATATCTTTTTCCATCCCCTCACTTTCAGTCTGTATGTGTCCCTAGGTGTGAGGTGGGTCTCTTGTAGAGACATATATATGGGTCTTGTTTTTGTATGCATTCAGCCAGTCTGTGTCTTTTGGTTGGAGCATTTAATCCATTTACATTCAAGGCAATTATCGATATGTGTGTTACTATTACCATTTTCTTGTTTTGGGTTTGTTTTTGGGTCTTTTTCTTCTCTTGTGTTTCCTGCCTAAAGAAGTTCCTTTAGTATTTGTTGTAAAGCTGGTTTGGTGGTGCTGAATTCTCTTAGCTTTTGCTTGTCTGTATAGCTTTTTATTTCTCCATTGAATTTGAATGAGATCCTTGCTGGGTAGAGTAATCTTGATGGTAGGTTTTTCCCTTTCATCACTTTAAATATGTCCTGCCACTCCCTTCTGGTCTGCAGAATTTCTGCTGAAAAATCAGCTGATAACTTTATGGGGAGTCCCTTGTATGTTATTTGTTGCTTTTCCCTTCCTGCTTTTAATATTTTTTCTTTGAATTTAATTTTTGTCAGTTTAATATGTGTCTCGACATGTTTCTCCTTGGGTTTTTACTGTCTGAGACTCACTGTGCTTCCTGAACTTGGGTGGCTATTTCCTTTCCCTTGTTAGGGAAGTTTTCAACTATAATCTCTTCAAATATTTTCTCAGAGCTTTCTCTTTCTCTTCTTCTTGGACCCCTATATTTTGACTGTTGATGCTGTCCCAGAAGTCTCTGAGACTGTCCTCATTTCTTTTCATTCTTTTTTCTTTATTCTGCTCTTTGGCAGTTATTGCCACCATTCTATCTTCCAGCTTACATTATTTGTTCTGCTTCAATTATTCTGCTATTGATTCCTTCTAGTGTATTTTTCATTTCAGTGATTGTGTCGTTCATCACTGTTTGTTCTTTAGTTCTTCTAGGTCCTTGTTAAACATTTCTTGTATTTTCTTAATCCGTGCTGTTATTCTGTTTCTGAGATTTTGGATCATCTTTACTTTACATCTTTATCCTGAATTTTTTTTCAGGTAGGTTGCCTATTTCCTCTTCATTTATTTGGTCTTGTAGGTTACCTTGCTTCTTCATCTGTAACATATATTTTTGTCATCTCATTTTTTTTTTTTTTGATGAGTGCTGCTGTGTTCCTTTGTTGCTGCTCGTTTGGTGTGAGGCATCTAGCACTGGAGTTTGCAGGCAGTTGGGTGGAGCTGGGTCTTGGTGCCAAGATGAGGACCTCCGGGAGAGTTCACACTGATTAATATTCCCTGGGGTCTGAGGTTCTCTCGTAGTCCAGTGGTTTGGACTTGGCACTCCCACCACAGGAGATCAGGCCTGACCTCTGGCCTGATAATGCAGGGATTCCTCCTGTCCCCTTAGGTGTCTGAGATCCTCCACCAGCGCCTGGTAGGTGCCCTAGTTGTGAGAAGACACAGTCTCTGCGTCCTCCTACTCTGCCATCTTGACTCCAGTCAGAAGCTCCCTTGCTCACCAGTGAAAGCCAGTGCTCAGAGTTCATTTCAGTCCCTGGACCCGCTTCACAATCCTCCTCAGCACAGGACTCTAGGCAGGCACTCAGCATGAGCTGAAAGCCATTTACCATCCTCACAGTGGCTGGAAATCTGCTTAGGGAAGCCTTCAGCTCAACAGAAACATCACAAACCTGTTTTCCTATATTATGACAGAAGTTGAACATCTTTAAGACTTTTATTGTCTATTTTTAATACTTTTGTTATGAAATGCTTGCTCTCATCCTTTGCCCATTTTTCAAAATTGGGCTGTTCATCTTTTTCTTATTGGGTTATAATTATTTCAAGTTTTTCATTTCTGTTAGGATTTTATGGTACATATTTTTTTATGTAGTCAAGAATTTTAGTCTTCTCCTTATTGGATTCCAGGTTGAAAATTCAGTTTAATAAAAAAGTCTTGTGGTTCCGTCCTATTTACAGGGGCAAGAACATTTGTGGTGTTCTCAAAACTGTCATTACACTTACTATCAGCAGAACAGTGTGGTATGAGGTAGGAGGATGCTTAGTGGATAGATATATTACCAACTGATCCCAGTCTCTGGTTTCTCCTTTGGAATGAGCGTTCGAGAGGGCTGACTTTTGAGGCATGGCATTAGATTTTCCTAGTATCTTTATCTTTTTTAAGGATCAGTTTGTCTTTAAGTGTAAAACTTGTTGAATTCATTTCTAGTTTTCTGTTCCATTCAACAGCTTCTTTATAATGCATTCCCTTATGTGCATATAAACCTGTTTTCTATGCTTTGTTTTAGTCTCTGTCTTGTTTTTCACAGCTAAAATTAGGAAGCAATCCAGAGTGAAAGGAATATTATATAACCCAATGTAGTTAATATTCTTTTCTATTCTGTGAAGAGATTGTGGGCATTGTCTTTGGTTTTAAAGAATTTAATATTTTAGAAATAGGAACATTATAGGATCATAAATTAAGAGTAACTAAGTTGGTTCAGTAGTTGATTAAATTCCCCAAATATTTGTTTTCTCTTAAGCTGAATGTTTTTTTAAGACTAGTGATGAAAGACCTTTTTCTAGAGAGATTGGTTTTATTGACCATTCTTTATGTGCTTTGCTGTTTCTAGTCCTGATTATGACATACTCTTTTTTTAGGCATCTCTACATCCTACTTAAAGAGAAGTAATTCTGTAACTCTGCAGCTTATTTTGATTCCTAAAAATAATATATTTGTTTTATTACTTTAGGTATGTACATCCCGATTCTGGTTTAATTATCGACATGTTGCAAATACTCTTTCTGTTTATAGAAGTGTCAAGAGGCTAGGTATTCCTGACAGGTAAGTATTCTTAATAAAGCTTAACTCTGATCCTCAGTGAAAATCACCTTTAGATGATATTATATTTGTGTTGCTTTTGAAAAACATAAAGAAACCTAATTTGAAATTATTTTGTGGTTGTTAGAGCATAACTATCATGTATAAAATAGTTCTTACTTAAGAGCATAATGGTAAATTATATAAAACAACAATCAACACTAAGGTAAAAAGATTTGATAAAGTATAATTGTTCAGTGTCATTTATTTAATTATTCATTGCTTCAGTCTGGGTTTAATTTTAGGCAACAGAAGGCAATTCTGACCGATTCAAGTAGGAAAGGTATTTATTGAAAGCATATTGATTAGTTTACCAAATTGCTGGGAAGGCTGAGGCCTTAAAGAGTCAGGAACAAGAGAGACTACGTAACAGAAAAGACATATCTAAAAATCATGGCATAAAACCAGTCCAGTGATAGGAATGCACCTTGAATTGCTGATGGCTAGACTCAGCTACTACATTACTGCTACCATTGCCTTTGGAAACTTAATGTTGCTTCTGTGACCTGCTGCCAAAATCTGACCTTTGCTGTCCCAGCTTCTTACTGTCTCTAGCTCTTAATTTAGGGTCCTTGGTGGGAATGTCATATTGGCAGAATATAGATTAAGTGCCCATGTCCATGCTGCAGGGGTGGCAAGAAGAATGACTATGTGGCATTGTTAGCTTCTCTGTAAGGAGGGGGGGGCTCTACCTTCTGTAAAGACTCATAAAGTGGTATATTCCCTAATTATATGAGGGAGCTCAGGTACTAAGCAGAACTCCCACACCTCCACCCCTAAATACCTGTCCTCTACATTTGGTTTGTCAGATATGATAGATCTGTTTTTTGCTACTTCCAAAGCAGTTCTAGAAGAAATTGCAGTCAGTTCAGTTACTTAGGTTTGATTTACTTAGTCCTGTGTTCCTCTCTACCTGTGAGGCAGTGTGGAAAGAGCTTTGCAGTTAAACAGATCTGAGTTTGAAATCTAGGTTTAGTGGTGATTTTGGTTAATCATTTCGTGATACTAAGCCTATTTCCTTAGCTATTACATGGTAGTGGTACTACCTTCTTTGCAGGATTTAGGTACTTAACAGTAAAGTGAATAGAGATATGTATAAAGCGCTGCAGGAGAAGAAAGGAAGCAGGGCATGACTCAGGAAACAAAGTTATCTTACAGTCTATGTCAATAGATCATTTTAGCCTAAGAAGCCGACAACTATAGCCTTGAAGCTGTAATTTAATTCCTGTATTTCATCTGGAAGTTAAGGCATCTTGGTAATACCATTTTTAAAAAGTACATTAAATTAAGTCTGAGAAAGGATGATTTGTTATATCAAGTTTAAGAATTATTCTTGTAATTAGCTGATTACTGTTATTTGTTAATTAGTTCTCAAATAGGTGTATGTGGTTAGTCTGTTGATTTTTAACTGCTATTGCTTCTATACCCAATGTGCTCCTTCAGGGAATTACTATGCATGGTTTGGCAGTAGGTTTCGCTTTGGTAAATGAGTCTTTGTCCTGTCTATAAGTCATTAGGATATGTTTAAATGATTTAAGTAAGATTTAGAAGGACTTTTTCGAAATAGAATATAACTTTGTTGGAGAATGAATTGGGGATTGAAACAGTTGATGATTTAAAACATTTGCTACTTAGTAAAAAGCGATCAATAGAATAGATTCTATTTGGCTTTTAGTCTATTATCATGAATACTCCTCTTCTTGGTGACTTATCTCACTTTACTCCTACCTGGAATTAAGTATAAAAATATAATTATAAGTAAATTTTAATCAGAAAGTAATAAACTATTATGAAATAACAGTTTGGAAACTTAAAATCATTGAGTGTTTTTCAGTTTTAAAGCTTGAATTTCAAAATACAGTTTGAATTTATTTTATACATTATGGAACATTTTCAAGTTAAAACAGTATTATCCTAGCTTCTGACCTATATCATAGCTTCTCAGGCTGTATATTCTGAGAAAAATGAGTGGTCACTGCATTGAATAAAAATTATGAGTAGAACTCTTGTTTTGTTTTGTTTTACCTTATTTGCTTTTTAAAAGCATTTTACTTTGTCTTGCAATGCAAAGTATTTGCATTTAGTTTTTCCACATACTTCAATAAGAAACTAGTTCATGTCAGAAATCATTTACCGAAACACATGACACAGATGATTGCCTTTTATTGTGGAAGTTCACATCAATTCCTTAGATCCTGTTTGAAATGTCACATTAATTGTGTCAGTACTCTTGTTCTGGTTTCTTTTTGATTTTCTGTCTGTATTTCACCTACTCCAACCATACTGAGCTATTCTCTTTGCCTGGAATGGTTATCTGTACTTCTAGCTCACTGCCAGCAAAACCTGGCCATGATTCTGAATCACTCAAGGTACATGTTAAAAATACCGATTTCTCGGCTTCACCCCTGGAGATTGTAATTCACTAAATCTGAAGTGAGTCCTAGACATCAACTCTATATATGGTTCTGGTGCACAGTCAAATTAGGAAGCACAGCTGTAACTTTTACCTGACCTTCCAAATTCACTTTAGTACTTCAAAAAAGTATTCTTGAGCTCCTTGTTTGCTTTTATGGTATCCTTTGTCTGTACTTTGATTATAATATGGTTATACTAACTATAGTATGTCTCCCTCGTTTATAAACTCCTTGAAGGGTACAAGAATTATATTATTTCACTTTGTACTTCTAGCATCTAGCACAGTACTTGGCACATAGTAGTGCTCAGTAGGTATTGGATAAATAAACTTGTGACTTGGAAATACTTTAACCAGTTAGGCAAAACAAACACAAGTCTGTACTTTAAAAGTAAAAACATTTCTGTCTTCTAAAGTGTGTTAGTCTAGTTTTTAGCAAATGTTAATGTTATAAAAGACTTTTTAATACATAAGGTGCCAGAATTTTATAATACTATATCAAAATATTGATTCAGAGAGGGGATCTTGATGGTTATGGGGGAAAATAAAAAGACGTGCTCATAAGTGGTTCATAATTGCCTTATCTATTATCCTTTTCATTCGTAGGTTCCATGGAGTTCAGGTGTCTTGCACTTTGTGCCCATGCTTTCTGTAACCTTACCGACCCTCAGATATTTTGTTTTTCTTTGCCTGGTTTTAGCTTCCTGAAACATTTCACTATTTTTAGGAAATTTTATGTCCTCAAATACTTGTTTTGGACTAAATCCCTGTTTTGCTACCTCCAGTATGCTTTAAATGCTTAAGATGAGGAAGCGAGAAGGCATTAAGCAGGGCTTAGGTTCTAAAGTCAGTATGTGAAGTAAAAATTGAGCTAAAATTTTTCTTGTGAAGTTTCTTAAATAGCACATAAAGCACAATATAGTATTAACTTTCATCAAGTCTAACATAGCAATTTTAGAGCAGTGCTAGAGCAAATTACTGTTTTCTTTTTCTTTGGTGGAACATTTGATGAAGTGGTTCACTTAGGATTAAGGGACATGTTATATGAAAAATAGCCATATCTTTAACACCAGAATCGTGATGCTCATGCTGTGAGAGGCACATGGGAATTGAGACTGAGGGAATGTAGAATTGTAGCTCCCATTTCATCTCATGTTTACTTTGGGGAATAAATGCATTGAGTAATAGGATGGATGAAGTCTGTCTTTCCTTTTATTTTTTTTGGCTCAGTGCATAAGAATTAAGTTTATGGAGTTAAATGTGTATATAGTTTTTCTTAAAATATTATTTAGCTCTACTACGAGTTGGGTGGATATGAGTTTTTGTAACTATCCCTATCTGATAAACTATTTCTATAGTTAAATCCAGTAGCTTTTCTTTTTTTTTAAAATTTTTTTATTGAAGTAGAGTTGATTTACAATGTTGTGTTAATTTCTGCTGTACAGCAAAGCGACCCATTGATGGTCCGGTAGCTTTTCTGACACTATTTTTTCCCTTACTCTGTATTTTAATCATTATGTGAGATTAATATTCTTAATTTAAACCTTTATTCATCTCCCCTTACTCATAAACTCTTAGGGTATGCAAAATAAAGTTCCAGTCCCTTATGCTGGAACTCAAGGCCTTTGCAATCTGTCCATATCTAATATTCTGATCATTTAATTTCAATTCCTTATGCTCTAGCCAATACCTTCTTATAAGTCTCTGTTTTGGCCTCTGTCATTGCCTTACACTGGTCCTTCCGTCTACAGTTTTTTCCTTCCACCCTCCTTTCTAGTTTTCCTATGCCCAAATTCACTTCATACATTCCCTAACGCTTTCTCAGTTCTTCTTGCATAAATATTTTATTTGTACTTCTATCATGGCACTTTTTTGTATGTATTGATCTTATTTCTTCAAGGTAGGTTCTGATACTATATTTGTATTCCTCCCAGTGCATTCTGTAATATATTGTGCAGAGTTGAATGAATGAATGAATGAATGAATGAATAGTATGCTAAAGATCCCTAGTTAAGTGGAGCCTAATTGGTCTAGATTAGAAAGGAAATATATATGAATATTGCTTATTTACAGTCTCTTTAGATATTTATTCTTTTATTTTATTTATTTATTTTTTTTGCGGTACGCGGGCCTCTCACTGTTGTGGCCTCTCCCGTTGCGGAGCACAGGCTCCGGACGCGCAGGCTCAGCGGCCATGGCTCACGGGCCCAGCCGCTCCGCGGCATGTGGGATCTTCCCGGACCGGGACACGAACCCGTGTCCTCTGCATCGGCAGGCGGACTCTCCACCACTACGCCACCAGGGAAGCCCCAGAATGCACTTTTGAGCTTTTGGTCTCTTATTCTTTTTAACTTCTTTCTCAAGTAATAAATATTAGAATTAGAAATGTGAATTCTGGTAATGTTGTAAATTTAAAAAGAAAACAAAATCACTAACTGCCTGTTATTGTTGTTTTAAAAATCAGATTGGTAATATAGCTTTTGACAGTTTCTATTTATTTATTTATTTTTTACATCTTTATTGGAGTATAAGTGCTCCACAATGGTGTGCT